TCACGCTTATTGGATTATGGCAACAGTCTCCAGATTGAACTCCATTTGCCATTGTCTCCTTAATTGCTGCTACATTAATCCAGTCAGGAGAACTATTGTACTTTAACTGGCTTGAAGATTAGATCTGACATATATTAGACTTGAGAACTCCATCTACCTTAACAAACCCTAGAGCCATCAGACACTTACACTTGTCAAGCATTGACCCAATTATTACATGAGCTCTCTGATCTTGGGGACTGAGCCAGGGTAAAGACCAGCCTACAGGAAGAAGGAAGGCAGTGTCTGAGAATTGTTTATTCACAGCAACTTGATACATGCGTACCTTGACCCCATTTCCTCCTCTAGGAGAAGTGTTTCTGCTCTGGGTTTCCACAGTGCCCTGTGCACACTTCTAAGAACCATTGTCACACTATATCAAGGCTGTGGGGTCCCTGTCTAAACTCTCGAGGGACAGAAAATGGGCCCTGCTCTTCTCAGGATGCTTTGCACCTACCACAGAACCTAAAGCATTTAGGTGTGAAATATAGATCTGACGAATGAATAAATGTGGAATGGTGAGGCTGGACTGGTAAAGGGACTTAGGGAAAGTCTTGAAGGGCATTTCATTTGCTCATTCTGTGTGTCAGGCAATGTGCTAGGAAATGGGGGGGGAATGAGACAAAGCTAATGGTATTGCAGCTATTTTACTCCAGTTCATTCATTTATAAAGCCTTAACACAAATCTAACTTCCTCCTGGAGGTTCCTTCACATCTTTGGTTTCAATTGCTCTTTCCTTAATTTGAGGTCCTACGGCACCATCCAGACATTATGCATCTAATTGTGTTCTGTGTATGTCGTTAGGCAGTTATTGAAAATGATTTTGTACTATCCCTTCAATGAGATCTTTAAGTGATTTGGGAATTTATACCCCTGTTTTCTAATATTTTATAATTTTTTTTAGAGATTTTTGCTGTGGGGCATATGCACTCACCAGAGACACAGAGAGACAGAAAGCAAGAAATCATCCCCCCCCCCCCAGGGGAGATGGCCACATTGCAGTCCTCCTCCTCCATTCTCCTCTCGGGATTTTGGGCATGCATGCACATGCAGCTGATGGTGAGTTTTAAGCTGCCAGGTCTGGGACGGGAACCTTGGTCAACTACGTGGGAGTCCAGCAATGTAACCATTACACCATCTACTGGCCCTGCACTTTATAATTATTTTTTTTAAGTTTATTTCTTTTGGGGGCAGGTAGTGTGGTGGTTAAGGTGTTGGACTCCCACATGGCCTACCGTGGTTTGAATCCTAGACCTGGTGGTTTGTCTTCTTACTTTCCCCCCTCTCTCTGTGTCTCTCCCTGGTGAGCACAAGTGCCCTATAGGAAATTAAATAATAATAATAATTTACATTTTTTAAGTTTAGGGTCATCAGGTTGTACAGTGGTTAAGGCGCTGGACTCCCACATGGTCAACCATGGTTCAAGTCCTAGAACTGGCAGCTTGAAACACACCACGCACATGTATGTGCATGCCCAAAATCCTGAGAGGACAATGGAGAAGGGGTTGTGTCATAGCCACCTCCCTGGGAGGTGATTTCTCACTTCTGTCTCTCTAACAAGCACATGCACCCTAGAGCATAAATCACTCAAAAAGAAAAAGGTTATTTCTTTCTTTCATAAGAATGTGAACGAAAAAAAGAAAGAAAAAGAAAAAATACCCTCAATAGGGTCTCACCCAGTTAGCCAGGATCGTGGGCATGCATGCTCGGCCACACAGATCAACTAAGGAGCTGAGCCCGGGATCTTCCTTGTGGATCCAGCTTCATTGGAGCAGCAAGTTACTGCTGCACCACTGAGCTGGCCTCGTTATGCAACGTTTTCGTTTCTCACCCAATATCAAACAAAATGTTAAGTATGTAATAATTATATCTGTCTGTTCTTTCAATGACTAGAGATTCACTTCATTTTTTAAGTAATTTATTTTATTTATTATTATTATCACGTTTGCTATAGGGCATATGTACTCACCAGAGAGAGACAGAGAGAAGGGAAAATGAGAAAGCAAGCTACCAGCTCTGGGACTCGAACCGTGGTCAGCTATGTGGGAGTCCAGTGCCTTAAACACTATGCCAGAGACTCACTTCATTTTTATTTGAATTTCGAAAGGCAAGCTTGAAGAATCTCAGAAAATCTGGTTTGGTTACAACATGTTTTACCTAACATATTAAAGTTGAGAATTTTAGTCTATATGCTAAATGTTAATGTGTAATTAGTTTGGAATTTTAGTTGATAACAAATTCCTTGAGCTTTCAACGATTCAAACTTGTTCAGTTGTTGACCTGATTCTATGTAAGATCTTGGTCTAGGGAACTGGGCCAGAAATAAGGCCAGTCTACGCACAGGGAAGACTGCAAAGGGTAATCCGTAGGTGTTTAGTGCACCAACGTTTCCTCCAGTGTCTTGCTATACCCCACCCCAAAGTGGGATGAAGTCTTTAATCTCTCCTTCCTAAGGCACCAAGATCAGGCAAAGGAGATGAAACTATCTTTTTGCTGCATCATTATGTCGTACTGAATAGCAGGATCTCACTGGAACAGCACAATCCCTGGGAGAGTAGGAAGACAGAGAAAGAGAGAGAGGTTCTTACAACCTTTGGGTCTCAAAATGAGAAGGGTAACTCTAGAAGAGATTGATCCACTAGCTTCCAAAGTAGCAAAACTAAAGACAAAGAGGGAGAATATAAAAGATACACAGGCCGAATTCTCTCAAATTGAGCAGACAGGGAACTTTCTTCAGAATAATCACGCATTGTTCACATTATCCTTGGTAGTGAATGTTTCATTTGTCCCTAGAAATGAAGGTCACTGTTTCCCTCCCACACCTAAACATGTGGGAGTAGCCGTGAAAGCTGGGCATTTTTAAAAACTTTTTTTGGCCCACTTCTTTCTGTGTTGCTACTTCCAGACCTTCATATTTTTCTGACTTCAAATAAAGGCAGTATGTTTCAGAACCATAAAATGCTGCCTGACCTGCTTCAGTGCCACTGGATTGGAGGCTTGGCAAACATACTACCCTCAGGCAGAGTTGGCCAGCTTTTCCTCTTGTCTGGTAGCATGTGATCTGTACCCCTTTAGCACTTGCTTCATACTGCCTGGAGTTAATTGTTTCCCTGTCTTCCCTCTACTCCCTCCTGTTTTTAATTGTTGACACTGGTAGTCATCTTTCATGCTGCCGTCTCCACAGCAGCTACATTGATACTGGCCTGTAAGTGATCTTGAGCAAGATCACTTCTGAGTTCGTTTCTTACTTTTCTTTATCCATGGTAAAGCATGTACACACATGAGAGAAAGAGGGAGAGAGAGAGAGAGAGGAGCACCCTTCACAGAGTCTGGTCACACCATGGTCCCCTTTCTCCATTTTGCCAGCCCATTGGATCCTGGGTATTCATGTGCATGCCAGACTTGTTACAGGTTCACTCTGCCAGGGATTCAAACCACAGTTGCCGTGTGGGATCCAGTGTCTTTTGAACAGCACATTACTGCTGCACCATGGAGCCGGCCTTGAGTCTCATTGTTATAAATTATAAAATGAGTTATTGTGAGATTAAGTGACAGACTATTATATTAATTGTAATTATTATTACCTACTCTACAAAGCTACTATGAGATAATTTACAGAAATTGCTTTTGAAAAGTAAAAGTTCTATCATCATGTAACACCAGGCTCTACTCAGCAATAATCGCTATATATATATATATAGAGAGAGAGAGAGAGAGAGTGACTAGCTCAGTTCTAAATGCTTTTTGCACGTGTGATCTCATTTAATCCTCCCAATAAAGCATTGGAACTATTATTTCTGATTTATAGATGACAGAACTGAGGCACAAAAAGGTTAAATAACTTCCCCAAGCTCACACAGATAATAAGTGGCAAAACTAGGACTCAAAATTAGGCGATCTGGCTGACTCCAAAGTTCCCATTCTGAATCACTGCACTGTGTTTTTTGTTTTTGTTTTGTTTTGTTTTGTAGAAGTTTTTGCCTTTGGGCACGTGCATTCACCAGAGAGAGAGAGAGAGTGAGAGAGAAAGTGAGAAATCACCCCTGGGAGGATGACTATCTTGCAATCCCTTCTCCTCCTAGGATCTTGGGCACTCACTCACACATGACCAGTGTTGAGTTTCAAGCCACCGGGTTCCAGACTCGAACCATGTTCAGCCATGTGGGTGTCTAGTGATGTAACCACTATGCCATCTGCTGGCCCCAAATCATTGCACTATGTTATGCCATAACCTAATTCGAATTTGCAAATGGGCCACTAATTAATACTTATGTGATCTTGACCAACACTGTAAAATTCTATGTCTAAAATTTTAAACTTCTGTAAAATGAGTACAAAACTAATATGTACTTGAGCCAGCAGGTGGTGTGGTGATTAAGGTGCTAGACTCCCACATGGCTGATCACAGTTTGAATCTGGGATCTGGTGGCTTGCTTTCTCACTTTCCCTCTCTTTCTCTTTCTGTCTCTCTCTGGTGAGTGTGTGTCCTATAGCAAATTAAAAAATAATAATAAAATGATAAAAATTAAAAATTCTAAAAAAATAAACTAATACGTGCCTCATAGGTTTATTTATCCAACAAATATTTATTGCATATCTACCATTTGCTATATGCCAGGCATACTGCAAAGTCATGAAAATTAAACGCACATAGCACATTTAATTATTACTTTCATTAGCCATCATAAATTGATCGTCTCTCTGAGACGTATTTCCCCTTCCTTGGTGAGAGATTATGTTTTCCTACGCTAATTGTATCCGAGCTATTTCTGTAGCTCTGACGTATAGGATATATTGCCTTGCCAGCTTAGCAAAAACAAACAAACAAAAAGCAGTACAAATATCTCTCAAGACGAACAGAGAAAAAAATGCTTTTAGTGGCTACTTTGAAATAGAGCGGACACACTAAGGGTCAGGCCAGACATGCAAAATATACTCACCACCAGGGGACAGGAAGTACTTGGTGAATGTGAAGATATGGAAAGGGCCGCATAAAATGCCTTTGGGAAGTGTATGGTCAGGTTGTCATGGGAAACAAAACGGTCCCACAGTACGTCTGTGGTGACATACGGAAGAACGCCGCAGCCATACTTCTGAGAGCCCATCGAGGCACAGACGGCTGCCATGCTCCCCGGGGCTGCGTTCTGTGCACTCTGGGTCTGTCCTGGCTTGCCTTACCCCACCTTCTGTGCGAGTCAGCAATATTTGCTAGGTTACATAAGAGACATAATCTGACCGCTCAGATTGCTGATAAGCAGATGAGATGAAATACATGAAATCAGTTGAAATAATTACACACACACAGTGGAGTTTTATGCAAGACAGTTGTTGTCATGCACAGAGAACCCTCAATGGAGGAACCAGATATGGAAAGTACTTTCTTCTCCATTTCTGAACTTGCTCGCAGCATTTTTTCCCTCCTTAAGAGTGACCAGGTTTGTCTTCCTGTCCTGATTAGTTCTTCTTCTCCCCATTTCAGTTTCTTTTTTCTTTCTTTCTTTCTTTTTATTTTTAGAGCATGTACACTTTCCAGAAAGACAGAGAGAGACAGAAAGCAAGAAATCACCGCCCCCCAACCTAAGGAGGATGGCCATGCCACAATCCTTTCTCCTCCATTCTCCTCTCAGGATTTTAGGCATGCACACACATGTGCCTGGTGTGAGTTTCAAGCTGCTAGGTCTGGGACTCAAACTGCAGTCGAACACATGGGAGTCCAGTGACACAGCCATTACACCATCTACTGGTCCCTCCATTTCAGTTTATAACAATAATAATAGCTACCATGTAGGGAGTATTATTTTATTTCTTTCTTTATATTTCTTTTAAAATTTTACTTATCATAATTATTACTATTATTATTATTTAATTTGTATGGGGCATGTGCACCCACTAGAGAAAGACAGAGATGTATATATATGGAGAGAAAGTGAGAAAGCAAGTTGCCAGGTCTGGGACTCAAACTGCAGTCGGTCATGTGGGAGCCCAGTACCTTAACAGTGACACTACTTGCTGATCCTATGAGTGGTATTTTAAGTACTTTACAGGTATTCATTCATTTCATCATCATCTTAACTGTGTAGGTACACACAATTATATTCCCCATTACATTCAAGAAAGCGGAAATAACTTATACAACATCACAGAGCTAGTAAATCAGAGGGCACACTTCAAACCTAGGTCATTTCATTAGGAGCCCGTACTTTTCTACTACACTATGACACGTTTCGCTCCGCCATAGCACCTGCCACAGTCTCAGGAACACATTTGCCAAACCAAAATTTTTCAGGCAGAAATCAGCAGTTTTCTTCTTTACTTTTTACAGTTCAGTCAATGAAGCCAGAGTAATTTTTGACTAAAACCATTTCTAATATTATGAGAAATGCAGAAGCTTACCATCTGGTACACTGCATGCCGTCATTTTTGTTTTTTAGTAATTATCTGGGGGAAATGAGAATTCAGCAAAAATTCTGCACAGTATCGATGAAACCAGTAGCTCTCTTATAACAACAAACATATCTATGCAAGAAATAAGGTTAAAGATTCGCTCTTCAGTGCAGACGTTCAACGCTGTGCATGGAAAGCTGATCCCACAAAGCCACTGTGGTTTGAATCCCGGCCCTGGTGACCTGGGGAGCACACCAGGCATGTGTGCATGCATGCCCCAAATCCAGGCAGAGTAGGAATTGGAGGAGAAAGGATTGCAGCACGACCACACCCCATGAGTGTGGCCCTTTCTCTCCCTGGCAGGCACATATACTCAGTGCCAATAAAGAAAAGTAAACACATAAATAAATAAAACGAAAGAAATGAGGTCAAATCTCAGCTGTTTTCTTCTGAATACTTAGTGTAAAATAACATTCAAGCTGTTACTTGTTCAAGGGTTAGGCACAGCGTTGGCAGAATCAGGTTCACGAGTGGGATTATAAAAAGATATGGGCCTTGTTTAAAAATCTGTACACAAAATACCCTTTCCCGCCCCCCTTTTTGGAATTTACCAGAGGCTGCTTGTGCTCACTGGAGAGAAACAAAGAATAGAGTGTGAAAAGAAAAGCACATTCTTTTCAGTAGAGAAATCTAGGAAACATTACTTTAACCAAATGATCAGGGTTAGTGGCACCAGAATACACACTATCGTGTACCTCTTGATGTGATGAGATGGGCGCTTTATCTCTGCAGAATTCTTTCTGAAAGTCCAGGATCCTTCATGAGAAAAATATAAAACAAACCTAATTTGAAGGACAGTCTGCAAAATATCTGACTAGTACTTTCCGAAACTGCCAAGGTCCTGAAAAACAGAGCAAGATTAAGACACTTTCACAAAGCAGAGACAGAGAAGACATTACAGCTAAGTATCATGTGGGATTCTGGATTGGATCCTGGAAAAACTGCTAAAACCCAAACCAAGTCTGGAGTTTAGGTAATAATAACAGTGTCGTTTCCTTAGTTTTGACAAAATGCCCTGATCACGTAAGACGATACCATCAGGGGAAACTGGGACAGGGAGGCGGGCGTAAAAGAACTCCCTGTGGTACGATCTTTGTAACTTTTTGCTGTACATCCAAAAACTGCAATAAAAAGTGAATTTCCCAAAAACTCATGGAAAGAGTTATTTAACATATTAAAGTAACAGATAGCTTCCATAAGTTTAGACGATAGATTGGCAAAAAGCCTACCTATGATATCCACACTTAAAACTCTTGAGCGCTATAGCGTTTTGCTAAACTTGAACATTAGAGGTTTACAGACTTGAATTCCTGGAGTATAATATCAAAGTCCATGTGTCTGAAGTTCATTTGAGTCTCCCAAAGAGAATTGCCCTGAGAATTCATCTTGGCAGTGTTGGCTGAATGCGAATGGGTTATTTAGCATTCCTATGCCATGGTTATCTCATCCACGAAACAAGTTCCCACCTAGATCTGACATTCTTATAAACATGCCTTCCTCAAAATTTTATTTCAATTGCAGGGGGCACGTGGACTCGCCAGAAAGAGAAGGAAAGGGAGAGGAAGAAACCCTCCATTCCCCCATGGGGCAATCCCTTCCCCTCCATTTCGCCATCCTGTTGGGATTTGGGTCATGTATTCACATATGCCCAGTGTCTTTTTCAAGCCACCAAGGCTGGGATTTGAACTGCAATTGGCCATGTAGAATCCAGATCCCTTACTATTGGAGCCGTCAATTTCTCTCAACTATCTTAAATATTGTTTGAAATTGGGTACTAATTCTAAGGGAAAACAATTCAAATGTGATTAGGCAATCCCACAAACATTTATGAAGAGGTGATCACTGAGTTAGGGATAGAAGCAACAGCCCTTGCTCTCCAGAGGTCCCTGCCTGGTGAAAGAGACAGAGCCACAGAGGAGCCGTGCAGCCATGTGCAAGAGCTGTGGAAGACGTGGTACCGAGCTGCACTTGTGCACCAGGTGAAAGCACTTTCCTCTGCCTGTAGAGGGGTTCCAGGAGCTCTGGACCCAAGAAACTAGGAATACCACGCAACAGTACTACCTGATCGAAGCAGTCAGTGAGCAGTCAGTCTGACAGTATGAGTCTTCATCATACATGGCTGCTTATGAAATCTTGGGAATTCTTGGATTTTTCCGGCAATAAGTCAACTGGGAAATTTAGTTGTTGCAGGGCTGGGCCAGAAAAGCCCAAGTGTTTCACGTTGCACATGCACTCTCTTGGGAACATTGATATGCATGAAATCTGTCCCCTGAGCAGACTTCATTGCTGTCACATGGACAACATAACTTTCTAGAAAAGGCAATGTGTTGGCTGTTGCAGCCTGTCATTTCTAAATCAAGCTTTCATAAAACACCCCTGTAGATCATGTCATTTCCATTTTATAGCTGAATATTTCTGCTTCAGGCCTTGAAATATGTGATCTTGGTGTTTAGTTCTGCTTTTAAATTCTGAATAGTATGGTAGAAACTGGAATGTAAGGTTCCTAGGCAAAAGTTCAAAATTTCTCCCTAATTTGATCCTACACCTACACATTCTGAATTTAGATTTTGTTTCCTCTTTATTTCTTTTTTATTTTTTAAATTTTTATTTATTTATTTTTTGCTATGTGCTCCCTAGGGACAGGGACAGAGAGGGAAAGTGAGAAGTCACTACCTAGTGGGTGGCCATGCCACAATCCCTTCTCCTCCATTCTCCTCTAGAGATGTTGGACACACACGCACACATGCCTGTGTGTGATCTTCAAGCCAGTGAGTCCAGGACTCAAATCTCTCAGCTGGCCATGTGGAATCCAGCTGCCTTAACCTCCCCACTATCTGCTGGTCCTGGATAGATCTTTCTTTAGTCGGGAGGACTCGACCAGGCAGAAGTGTTGACACTTCCATGGTCATGGGTACAGGGGATGAGTGCTTCTTTGTGGGAGGTGGCCCAAGACAAGTGGGAGTATTAGAGAGGGGTACAGAAAACTGGCGAAAGTCATTTCTTCCTCTCGCAGGGCCTAACTAGAAAAGTGCCTTCGGAGTGATAATTCTGGAAAATTCCCACCCAGCAAGCAGACAAGAGTGAACAGCAAGCACAGACCTGAGGATGCCAGCCAAAGTACATAACAGAGAGACGGGCAGAAGTGCCTTCCCACACTAATCTCCCAGTCCTGCCAGATCGCCGCATGTGTGCACGTGAGGGGAGCCAGGTGGCTGTGGGAGGTTTTCTCCCAGAGCAGCGTCTGCACTTATCTTGGCACAGAGCTGTAAGGAAAGAGATCTGAGACAACAAGAGTTCTTTCTAAGCAGACGCAGGACCTTGGCTTCTAAAAAAAATAAGCATTTAGGGTTTTTTTTTTCCTGATTATAAATGTAACATCCCAGAAAGAAAAGTGCACACGTTGCAGAAAAGCAAAAAGAAAAATATAAAGTTACACTTCTATCCTAAGAGAGTCAGTATGAAACTTTTGGTGCATTTCCTTCCAGGATTCTAGGTGCAAATATGTGCAACATTATTAAGAGAATACTACACGTCTAATTTCATATTCTGTGCTTTTTCTCTTAACATCACTGCATAAGAATTGTCCTAGCTATTTTTAAAACACTCTTTGTGGGACCCAACAGATGGCATAATGGTTATGTTGCTGGACTTCCATGTAGCCTACCATGGTTCAAGTTCTGGA